AAAGTGAAGACAATTACAGACAATACTACTGATCATTACCCTACCTTCCTTGTAACCGTGTAAATTACCACTTGAAACTGGTAACATCTCATTCTGTCTCCATGATGAGACATCAGTAAATAACTTCATTACAACAGTAAGTGACAATGACCGGCACAGAAGGTTTACCAACGATTGGGAAATTGACAAATGGGTCAGCATTTATCTACAAAAAAATACAAAGTCTACAAGAGAGTCTTATTAAAACGAAGCAGATCACAGCCAAGAGACTAAGTAGCCCGTGACTAACAAACAGCATCCTCAGGCCCCCCCCCCCCAAAAAAAAAAGACTAAAAACTATAGTAAGTCTATTTAGGTTCAGGTATACATAAGTACAATTATCATAGTGTAAATTACCTAGGATAACCCAGAAAAGTCAAAGTGACTTATTTCCATAAGGAAATCTAAGCAATTATATTATGCCAGCACATTTAATGAAATAAAAGGGGATATGAAATGACCTAAAAAAACTGACCAAAACCAATGATGCTGTTCTAGCCAAACCCAATGAACCTTACATCAAGAGTTGCAGAAGAGTGGAACAAACTCACAGGTATAATAACTGAGGTAAGAACTTTTAGTAGTTTTAAATATAGGCTGGATGGGTTCATGAATGGGTCAGAGTTGGACATACCTAGCATGGACCAGCAGGACTGCCACAATGTTCATTATATTGACAAAACCTTCTACATTATATTTATGAACATAACAGGTGTTGCCCAGCTGAACATAACAATTGACAACACTCTTATTGCTAAATGTAATGAGGGTAAATTCCTGGGACTGCACCTTGACAGCAATCTGAAATTCAACACCTGTATCCAACAAATAACAAAAAAGTATCCAGAACAGTTGGGATCCTCTCTAAGATATGTTACTATGTACCACAATCAGCCCTACTCACACTATTCAGTCATCTATCCCTACCTGGGGATCAACAGCAGCAACTCACCTAAAGCCAATAATAACCCAATAGAAAGCTGCAGCAAGAATTATCTCACAATCCAGTGCTAGACAGCCCCCCATCCTCTTCAAACACCTAAACCTACTCACTGTACAGAACATTCACACCTACTGTGCAACCTACATTTACAGAACCATAAATTCTAATATTAATCCTGAACTAAAACACTTTCTTGATAGTTGCAACAGGACCCATAGACACAATACCAGACACAAAAATCTCTATAACATACCTCGTGTCCTGCTAAACCTCTACAAAAATTGAAGTACAGTGGAACTCTGGATTTCGTATGGTCCACATATTGTACAATTCGGATTTAGAACACTTTTTTAGGTGAAATTTTGGTCCGGATTTAGTACCTCCATCCGGAAATCATACGTATCAGATGCATCTGCTCATATGTTTGTGACTCAGTCTGCCTTTGTTACTCATTGAGTAAACATTACTCCGTGCATTCATCCGAAACATTTCGTAATAATCCATTGTTTTTTGTGCTTGTGACTGCTAAATAAGCCACCATGGGGCCAAAGAAAGTCCAGAGTGCCAGCCCTTTGATAAAGAAGGCAAGAAACATGACAGCATTCTTCAGTGATTCAGTGATTCTACAATATGTATGATACTGTAATAAAGTTGGTAGAATTACCGACAATATGTAAAGTAAAAGGACACAAGTGCAACTAATGTGACATTTTATTGTGGCAACATTTCGCTCTCCAGGAGCTTTATCAAGCTGTTACAAACAATACATGGACACAGAGGGTATATATAGGCTCAGAGTGCGGTGCAATACTAGTGGTAGTAGTAGTAGTAGAAGTAATACAATATGTAGAACAATTAACTTGCACATGAGTAAACGATATAAAAGCTATTACTTGGGAAACATAAAAATTGGTTAGACAAATATTTCTATTGGAGGCTGGATAAAGAAGGCCTGTTTCAAAGTTCATTCTCTGTAATGTGCTGTGTAGTATTAACAGGAGAGACTATGTGATGGCAGGATTTACTGTTTTTAGGAGGATTCTTGCTAAGACTTCAGAGATGGTGAAGCTGCCTTTGTTTTAATTGTATTGGAAACAGCTATTAGTGAAGATTCAAGGCACTTGCGTCTGCAGAAATTAGTTTCTTTGATCACTAGTTGGTTTTCAAAACTATTCATCACACACATGAGCTTTAATAAAAACAGTGTATCATGCCAAGACAAATCCAATCCCATTACTTAATTTACCATTTGTAACATTCTTATATGTTTATACTACCTCACTATTATAAATCTAATTATGTATCTAATAATGTATGTTATTAGATACATCAATATTTACCTGGAGTTTACCTGGAGAGAGTTCCGGGGGTCAACGCCCCGGTGGCCCTGTCTGTGACCAGGCCTCCTGGTGGATCAGAGCCTGATCAACCAGTGTCATGCCCACACTCTGGCTTACTGACTGGCTTAATTGCAAAATCCGGGTCAACCCCTCAGAGATTGAAGCAATTAGCACACGAACTCAGCCAGGAAGCTTGAAACTGGTTACAGGTAACTGGTACTACTGAGACCAGGCTGTTACTGCTGGCTGCACGCAAACCAACGTACGAGCCACAGCCCGGCTGGTCAGGTACCGACTTTAGGTGCTTGTCCAGTGCCAGCTTGAAGACAGCCAGGGGTCTATTGGTAATCCCCCTTATGTATGCTGGGAGGCAGTTGAACAGTCTCGGGCCCCTGACACTTATTGTATTGTCTCTTAACGTGCTAATGACACCCCTGCTTTTCATTGGGGGATGTTGCATCGTCTGCTGAGTCTTTTGCTTTCGTTGTGAGTGATTTTTGTGTGCAAGTTCGGTACTAGTCCCTCTAGGATTTTTTTTTTTTTTTTTTTTTTTTTATCACACTGGCCAATTCCCACCAAGGCAGGGTGGCCCGAAAAAGAAAAACTTTCACCATCATTCACTCCATCACTGTCTTGCCAGAAGGGTGCTTTACACTACAGTTTTTAAACTGCAACATTAACACCCCTCCTTCAGAGTGCAGACACTGTACTTCCCATCTCCAGGACTCAAGTCCGGCCTGCCGGTTTCCCTGAACCCCTTTATAAATGTTACTTTGCTCACACTCCAACAGCACGTCAAGTATTAAAAACCATTTGTCTCCATTCACTCCTATCAAACACGCTCACGCATGCCTGCTGGAAGTCCAAGCGCCTCGCACACAAAACCTCCTTTACCCCCTCTCTCCAACCTTTCCTAGGCCGACCCCTACCCCGCCTTCCTTCCACTACAGACTGATACACTCTTGAAGTCATTCTGTTTCGCTCCATTCTCTCTACATGTCCGAACCACCTCAACAACCCTTCCTCAGCCCTCTGGACAACAGTTTTGGTAATCCCGCAGCTCCTCCTAACTTCCAAACTACGAATTCTCTGCATTATATTCACACCACACATTGCCCTCAGACATGACATCTCCACTGCCTCCAGCCTCCTCCTCGCTGCAACATTCATCACCCATGCTTCACACCCATATAAGAGCGTTGGTAAAACTATACTCTCATACATTCCCCTCTTTGCCTCCAAGGACAAAGTTCTTTGTCTCCACAGACTCCTAAGTGGAGACAAAGAACTTAGTCCTTGGAGGCAAAGAGGGAAATGTATGAGAGTATAGTTTTACTAACGCTCTTATATGGGATTTTCTAGGTGTATATAATTATGTATCTCTCCCGCCTGCGTTCCAGGGAATACAGGTTCAGGAACTTCAAGCGCTCCCAGTAATTGAGGTGTTTTATCTCTGTTTTGCGCACCATGAAGGTTCTCTGTACATTTTCTAGGTCAGCAATTTCACCTGCCTTGAAAGGTGCTGTTAGTGTGCAGCAATATTCCAGCCTAGATAGAACAAGTGACCTGAAGAGTGTCATCATGGGCTTGGCATCCCTAGTTTTGAAGGTTCTCATTATCCATCCTGTCATTTTTCTAGCAGATGCGATTGATACAATGTTATGGTCCTTTAAGGCGAGATCCTCTGACATGATCACTCCCAGGTCTTTGACGTTGGTTTTCCGCTCTATTTTGTGGCCGGAATTTGTTTTGTACTCTGATGAAGATTTAATTTCCTCGTGTTTACCATATCGGAGTAATTGAAATTTCTCATCGTTGAACTTCATATTGTTTTCTGCAATCAAATGAAAGATTTGGTTGATGTCCGCCTGGAGCCTTGCAGTGTCTGCAATGGAAGACACTGTCATGCAGATTCGGGTGTCATCTGCAAAGGAAGACACGGTGCTGTGGCTGACATCCTTGTCTATGTCGGATATGAGGATGCGGAACAAGATGGGAGCGAGTACTGTGCCTTGTGGAACAGAGCTTTTCACCGTAGCTGCCTCGGACTTTACTCTGTTGACGACTACTCTCTGTGTTCTGTAAAAATTCTGTAAAAATTAGTATTAGTTTGCCTGAAATACCTAGGAATGCTAGTGGCCTTCTCTGTAATTAATATTTTATAATGTATTTTATAATATGTAAACCACACATTATTTTACAAGGAAATAAACATTGTTATTTTCATATTTTTTTATTACAATGATCATAAGTTTTCTTCTTTCTCCCCTTGTATATTTACCTCGTCAAGTACCAACATAAAATAAGCTATACAATATTTCAATGGCTTTCCTTTTCGAGATATAAAAAATAAATCACAAACTTAACTGAGGTGAACTTTAACATCTTTCGTGAATCAGGAACCAAAACTACTCAGGATTGCCAGCGATATACAACACAATTTCTAATAAAAAAACCATACGTGAATACAGTAATAACGATCGTTCAACTAGCCACCAACGTAGCAAAAACCCCAGCAATTAAACCCTTGTTCAGTTTTTAGTTGCTGGCAGACACCCGCCCACATCTCGTCCCTCCTCCTGGCGCATTACTGACGCGCTTTCTCAAGAGAATCTCAAGGAATTGGAATAAAAGGCAGGTAATGCATGCATGTTGAGAGAGAGGAATTAGTGTCATACCTGTGTGGTGTTGTGGTGTAGTGTAGTGTGGTGGTGATGGTGGTGCAGACGACCTCACCTCCACCATCACCATGTAAACAAAATGCCACAACCAACTCAACACAAAACCCAAACTTTGTTCCAAAAAACGTACAAAAATAATCACTGTTATATCACTCTCATCTTTTTTGCATTTCACAACTGCTTATATTATATCCATGAATGCGTAAGTATTTAAGTTGTTTTTCAAGAGGAAGTTTTCATGGTTATTTGTGTTTTAATTTGACTAAATTTGGCTTGTCTGATGTATGATAATACATATAATTGTAACAATGATTTTTTTTTTTAATTTTAATTATATGAAATATTTTTAGTGCGTGAGATATTGCATATACTCTGTATTCTATATTAATGGTTGTACTTTTAAACTTAGACTTATAACTGTGTTGGTAGAGTGAGTGAAGCATCGTACATCACTCACACGGATGCTACGCTGCCAGATGAACGTTGTTTCTCGATCAATATGAGGAAAGCGCCAAGTTTAACTTACAATTAACATTTCATTCATTGAGAACGCTAAATTCGTAGGGGTCATACAGTTCCTAGCAGCAATCAAATATGATAAATGTAGTGACATATGTGTTAAATATGCTAAGAACTCTTACAACCACAAACGTATGAAAAGCAATATATTCTTATTCTCATTACGTGTAATTATAATTCAGCTTTCAATAATTGACTCTTTGTAAAGTACAAGGACACAAGTGCAACTACTGTGACATTATGTGGCAACGTTTCGCTCTCCAGGAACTTTGTCAAGCCGTTACAAACAATACATGGAGTGAGGTGTAATACTAGTGGTAGTAGCAGTGATGCAAGTTGTAGTAACAGTTTACCTGGAGTTTACCTGGAGAGAGTTCCGGGGGTCAACGCCCCCGCGGCCCGGTCTATGACCAGGCCTCCTGGTGGATCAGAGCCTAATCAACCAGGCTGTTGCTGCTGGCTGCACGCAAACCAACGTACGAGCCACAGCCCGGCTGGTCAGGAACTGACTTTAGGTGCTTGTCCAGTGCCAGCTTGAAGACTGCCAGGGGTCTGTTGGTAATCCCCCTTATGTGTGCTGGGAGGCAGTTGAACAGTCTCGGACCCCTGACACTTATTGTATTATCTTTTAACGTGCTAGTGACACCCCTGCTTTTCATTGGGGTGATGTTGCATCGTCTGCCAAGTCTTTTGCTTTCGTAGTGGGTGATTTTCGTGTGCAAGTTCGGTACTAGTCCCTCTAGGATTTTCCATGTGTATATAATCATGTATCTCTCCGCCTGCGTTCCAGGGAATACAGGTTCAGGAACTTCAAGCGCTTCCAGTAATTGAGGTGTTTTATCTCCGTTATGCGCGCCGTGAAAGTTCTCTGTACATTTTCTAGGTCAGCAGTTTCACCTGCCTTGAAAGGTGCTGTTAGTGTGCAGCAATATTCCAGCCTAGATAGAACAAGTGACCTGAAGAGTGTCATCATTGGCTTGGCATCCCTAGTTTTGAAGGTTCTCATTATCCATCCTGTCATTTTTCTAGCAGCTGCGATTGATACAATGTTATTGTCCTTGAAGGTGAGATTCTCCGACATGATCACTCCCAGGTCTTTGACGTTGGTGTTTCGCTCTATTTTGTGGCCAGAATTAGTTTGTACTCTGATGAAGTTTTAATTTCCTCGTGTTTACCATATCTGAGTAATTGAAATTTCTCATCGTTGAACTTCATATTGTTTTCTGCAGCCCACTGAAAGATTTGGTTGATGTCTGCCTGGAGCCTTGCAGTGTCTGCAATGGAAGACACTGTCATGCAGATTCGGGTGTCATCTGCAAAGGAAGACACGGTGCTGTGGCTGACATCCTTGTCTATGTCAGATATGAGGATGAGAAACAAGATGAGAGCGAGTACTGTGCCTTGTGGAACAGAGCTTTTCACAGTAACTGCCTCGGATTTTACTCTGTTGACTACTACTCTTTGTGTTCTGTTTGTGAGGAAATTATAGATCCATCTACCAACTTTTCCTGTTATTCCTTTAGCACGCATTTTGTGCGTACAGAGTCAAGCTCAGTGTCATAGTTTTAGCGCCATTAGGATTGCAAACAATTCAGTTTGCAATGTAGACACCCAGTTGTTAATTCTTACGCCTAACGATAGCAACGAAGTTCCCATCATTCTTAACTAGGGAGGTGGGAACAAGAGCAGATGAAGCCCTGCCAGAAGACTCCTGCTTAGTAAGTAAGTAAGTTTATTCAGGTATACACAAATACAGTTACATAGAATTATCATACATAGCAGCATATGTGTAGAGAACCTAGGATAACCCAAAAAAGTCAGACAGAGTGACTTATTTCCATTGGAGTCCTTTAGATCCATCAGTGTATGTAACTGGTGACAACTTATTACCACCAGCTAGGCCAGAAATTTCTTCTTGAGCAGTTGCTTTAACAAGTGACTTAAGGAAGGGATTACTAGCAATGAGCTTCTTGGGAGGGACTTGCAGGTATATGATATTAAATGAACACATCTTCCATGGAGGAGTGAAATGCTCTTATTATCTACAGTGATATAGTTCATGCAGGTTATAAAACTTAATGCAAATGCACGTTTTCACAATCCATTTAGATGTGTGTGTATTTACTTCTAGATACTTAGTAAGATTCATTGTGACAGTGTCTGGTTCATTTCTTAACATTCTAATACCGAGTACAGTGTTAATCTCAACAATCCTATCACTGATACTAGAAATACCAAGCTCCTTCCTCATATTAAGAACCTTTGTAGATCTGGGACACCCGAGAATAATTCTGAGAGCTTCATTTTGCATTAACTCCAAGGGCCGGAGAGAACTTTCTCTAGCTAATATCAACATGGGAGCAGCATAATCAATTAAGGACCTAACATAGGCTACATCATTCTCACGATTCTCACATTAGCACCATAGTTGGGGTTGTAGCCAGCAACAGCTTTGAGAGCATTTAGCCTATCTTTGCATTTCTTATTTACTTGTGGTATAGTGGGTTTGTTAAAGGGTACATCTACGCCAAGATATCTGTAAGTTTTAACGTAGCTAATATTTTCATCCTGCAAATGGATGGGTAGGATGTCGTTTGTTTGTTAATATCTTTGTTTTAGAGGAAGACATTATGAGGCCTAGTCGATTACAAATTGCTTGAACTTCATTAAGAATGGTGCTCATCTTCTTATGCCCTGTTGTATGGATCATAATGTCATCAGCATATCTTATAGCTATATGTTTAGGTGAGGCAGGTAGAGCATTTAGGAGAACATTAATCAGAATATTAAATAGCATGGGACTGAAAATTCCTCCCTGCGGTGTACCTAAAGACATTTCTTGAGACTCACTTCTAAAGCCTTGGTAGAGGGTAGAGGATACTTTATTTCACAGGTATCCTATTATCCAGCAGAGTAAGCTACCACCAATATTCATTTTGGCTAGTTCATGTAGTATAACGGTTCTGTTCGCAATATCAAATGCAGATTTTAGATCAAGAAAAGTGGTAAAACTAGTAGAGGTGTGTGCAGTGAGAAAGGTGGAAATGCAGTTCTGCAGACTTTTACCTTTCATGAACCCATAGAGGTAGGGGGAAAGTTGGTGTCTGATTCTGTAGTACAGTCTGTTAAGTATCATTCTTTCAAAAGTTTTACATAGACAACTAGTTAAGGAGATCGGTCTATATGTATCAGGCTGTTGGGGATTAGGGATAGGCACAATGAGACTATTGGTCCAGGAAGTAGGAAGAACGCCCTCAATGTAACTGAGATTATACAGTGCCAACGAAGGGTTATCAGGCACTTGCCTTAAAGTTCTGAGAATATCATAGGTTATACCATCCTCTCCAGGAGCAGTTGATCGACCTTTAGTTAATGCATTATCTAATTCATACTCGGTGAAGAAGCAATCACTCTCATCAATATTTTGGATCATAAAATTAATCAGTTTCAACATTTCTTCCTATATTTATACATCTTTCTATATACATCTTTCTCTTCCTCAGGCAAATTTTTCCAAGCTCTAGCCAGATTTACGAAACGATTAGCCTGGAGTTTACTTGGAGAGAGTTCCGGGGGTCAACGCCCCCGCGGCCCGGTCTGTGACCAGGCCTCCTGGTGGATCAGAGCCTGATCAACCAGGCTGTTGCTGCTGGCTGCACGCAAACCAACGTACGAGCCACAGCCCGGCTGGTCAGGAACCGACTTTAGGTGCTTGTCCAGTGCCAGCTTGAAGACTGCCAGGGGTCTGTTGGTAATCCCCCTTATGTATGCTGGGAGGCAGTTGAACAGTCTCAGGCCCCTGACACTTATTGTATGGTCTCTTAACGTGCTAGTGACACCCCTGCTTTTCATTGGGGGGATGTTGCATCGTCTGCCAAGTCTTTTGCTTTCGTAGTGAGTGATTTTCGTGTGCAAGTTCGGTACTAGTCCCTCTAGGATTTTCCAGGTGTATATAATCATGTATCTCTCCTGCCTGCATTCCAGGGAATACAGGTTTAGGAACCTCAAGCGCTCCCAATAATTGAGGTGTTTTATCTCCGTTATGCGCGCCGTGAAAGTTCTCTGTACATTTTCTAGGTCGGCAATTTCACCTGCCTTGAAAGGTGCTGTTAGTGTGCAGCAATATTCCAGCCTAGATAGAACAAGTGACCTGAAGAGTGTCATCATGGGCTTGGCATCCCTAGTTTTGAAGGTTCTCATTATCCATCCTGTCATTTTTCTAGCAGATGCGATTGATACAATGTTATGGTCCTTGAAGGTGAGATCCTCCGACATGATCATTCCCAGGTCTTTGACGTTGGTGTTTCGCTCTATTTTGTGGCCAGAATTTGTTTTGTACTCTGATGAAGATTTAATTTCCTCTTGTTTACCATATCTGAGTAATTGAAATTTCTCATCGTTGAACTTCATATTGTTTTCTGCAGCCCACTGAAAGATTTGGTTGATGTCCGCTTCAGAAGCACTCTCTAAATAATATGAGATGAAAAGTTTTCATGCCTGAATGTTTTGGACCAGTCATTTATGAGGTCATTTGCTTTTTCGAGACGAAAGGGATGAGC